AATATTCCCTAAGTCTTCTAGCAGAGATTAGTAAAGCAAAAGCCACCTTTTCTAATCTTTGATATATGAGCTCCGCTCCTTGTAAAATCCAACTTACGAAGTAAATCGGTTGTTGCCCTTCTTCATCTTCTTGTAGTAGAACCGAGCTGACAACAACATCACCCACAAAAAGATACTTTATTAAAGTTTCTTGCTCCCTTGGTTTTGTTAACACTGGAGTAGAAGCTAACTTTCTTTTTATCTCATGGAACGCGGCTTCGCATTCCGAGGTCCATCCATATTGCACTTCCTTTCTCAGTAACTTGAAGAAAGGTAATGTTGTTTCTGCAGACCGAGATAAGAACCTAGTGAGAGAGGCTAATCTCCCTATTAACTGCTGTATTTCTTTCTTGCTTGACGGAGCCTTCATTTCTAGCACGGCTCAATACCTCTGTGAGTCAACATAAAACCGAGTAACTTTCCCGCAAAGACCCCGAAATCGCATTTTGCTGGATTTAACCGAATGTTATGTCGCCTTAATTTGTCGAAGGTCTGCTCCAAATCTTCAATATGTGCTGCTGAATTAAATGACTTGACTATCATGTCATCAATGTATACCTTAACACTTTTGCCTAGCTAGTCCGCGAACACTTGATTCATCATCCTTTGGTAGGTGGCCCCTGAGTTTTTCAACCCAAAGGGCATCACATTGTAGCAATAGTTCGTTTTTTCCGCAATGAAAGCAATTTTTTCTTGGTCTTCCGGATGTAGTGGGATTTGATTATACTCTGAATAGGCATCCTTGAAGGACAACATCTGGAACTCATATGAGCTATCAACCAGCTGGTCTATATTAGGCATTGGGTATGCGTCCTTAGGGAACACCTTATTCAAGTCGGTGTAATCTGTGCACACTCTCCATTTTCCATTTGGCTTTTTGACCATCACCACATTGGATAACCATGTTGTATATTGTATTTCCCGGATGAAGCCAGTTTCCAACAATTCTTTCACATTGTCTTCTAACACCTGCTGACGTTATGGGCTAAGCTTCCTTTTCTTCTGAGCTACCGGCCTAGATCTTGGATACACCGCTAGCTTATGACAACAGAAAGTCGGGTTTACCCCAAGTATTTCTGAAGATTTCTAGGCAAAGGCGTCCTTGTTGTTCCTCAAGCATGTGGTAATCTGTTCTTTTACCTCATCCGTCAATCCTTTGTCGATCCTTGCTATTTGTCCTTCCTCACCGATGGTTACTTCTTCCAGCTCTCCATCTGGTTCAGGCCTTGGCATCTGACTGTCATCTGTCATGTCTAATTCCACCATGTTAACTGATTTTTTCTCCTTCTGGCTCAGGCCAACCTGTCTACTGCTCTCTTTGACCTCGGTTGAAGGATTAGGATAATTATCCACTGCTCTAATTGATTTGAAATAACAGTCTCCAGACTCCTTCTGGTCTCCAGCGATGGTGATTACCATATTTTACTTACCAATCATCTTAATTTTCTGATGTTTGGTGGAAACCAACATGTCTTAACTGTGGATGGTTGGTCTTCCCAATATTACATTATATTTCGAAGGGAAGTCGGCTACAAAGAACCTTACCCTTTCAGATTTATAGGCCTCTTTGGTTCCTAAGATGAGCTTGAGATCAATATACCCTTTAGGAATGGTATTACAGCCGTTGAATGCAATCAAGGCAGTGTTGGAGGGCTTCAAGTCTTCCTCATCTAGGTTCATCTTTTTGAACGCCTGCCACAGAATTATGTCAGCACAACTTCCGTTGTCGACAAATATCTTCTTGACTTTACAATTGACTAGCGTTCCCGTAATAACGAATCCATCAACGTGTCCTGGCATCACGTCCTCCAACTCTTTTTTAGTAAAATATAGTAGTGGTGGCTCCGGTTTGGCTTCTTCTTTGAACTTAGGTTGCTCTCGAATCGAAAGTACCTCCCTTAAATATTTTCTTCTGGCATTCATAGTATCGCCTCCCCCGCCAAAAGCCCCACTAATCACATTGTATTCAAACTCTGGCACCACAAATTCATCGTCTTCTTGGGCCGGCTTCTTACCCCGGCTCTCCTCCTTGAATCTCTTTTCTTTTGGCAGGCTCATAGGCCGGCCTCTTCTTTTCCTGTCGTTCTTTCATCCTTGAGTTCTTATTAAATATTGACACAGCTTTTTGTCCCTGATATACTTTTCAATCGCGTCTCTCAGATCCCGACATTCATTCGTAGTGTGCCCAGGCCCGTCATGAAACGCACAATACCGAGATTGGTCTAACCCGGCTTGTTTCAGCAAAGGATGGGGTCTATCTACCTTCTTCATTTCGGTGGAGGTCACTTCTCTCCAGATTTGCGACCTGGGTGCGTTTAATGGTGCAAATTTCTCGAATCTTCCTCTTGGCGGAATTCTTTCGTCTTGCCGTTTGCTCCGGAATTCGCTTTGCCTTCGATTACCAGGCTTCTCTACTTGGTTTGGATATTGCTTATGATCTGTATTTTCAATCTCCATCTGCTCTAGCCCCAAATACTTTTTTGACCGCACTGTGAACTCCACCAGCGTTCGCACCGGGTCTTTATATATAGATTTGGCCAACCTAGAAGAGCCATGCAACCCCTGCTATCACCAGGTGCAAATGTACGTTTTCGGACAATCCCGGAACCTGCAAGGCAACCATTTTAAACCAATCCAATTATTTTTGCAGTGTTTCACCAGGTTGCTTTTTTATCTTCCCCAGCGCAAATTCGGACTTTGGTTGCTTTTTGCTAGTAGCAAAATTTAGCAAAAATCTTCCACCAAATTCTTTAAAAGATCTGATAGATCCCGCTGGCAATGATGAAAACCATGTTTGAGCCGCTCCTGTCAACGTAGTTGCGAAGAATCGCGTGATCAAAGGTTCTTCTATCCCCTTGATGTACATGGCCGTGTCGAAGGCATCCAAGTGCACTTGAGGATCCTGCGTTCCGTCATACTTGAGAAGCTCTGATAAATTCAGATTTTCTGGAAAGTGTGCATCAACAATCTCGTCCACGAAAGGACTATCATTGTACTGCCCCTTGTTGTACTTTCTCCTATAGACCCCTGATACGTCATCCGGGTTCCTGAACGGGTGCCCGTCACCCAGGGGCTGGGTGTTCTCCATCCAGGTTTCTAAGATGATGCCTATCAGGCATGAGGTCTATTTGCCTTACCGTACCCCTTGCATCCCGGCTTCTCACGCCGAGATTCTTGATGACGGACCGGGTTAGTAATAACCCTTTGAGGTCGGCCATCAGCGTTCCTCACTGGATTCTGGGCTCGCTCATTGTTGTTCTGCTGTGGATTCGTGATCCTCAGGTCAGTCATGACCTGTGTTATAGCTCTTTCGGGGTTTGGGTTGGTAACTCGCCAGAGTCGAGTTTCTAATTCTCGAATCTGCCTTGCATCTTCTTGTCTCTGAAGTTCATTCCTTCTTTCCATCTCCTCCATTCTTCGCGGCACTGCAGCAACATCTAGATCTGTCACCCGTGGATCATTGGTTGCACCGTTTGGCATCTACACAGCATTCGCAACTTGCTCTCCAATTGGTTGCCACCCTTGTACATATGGGGCATCTGAGTTAACCGCCGGAGTTGATGCTAAGTCAGAGTGCACATCACTGACATGCACAACATCGGGATTTGGGATCTGTTGCTGCTGACGATCCTGGACGATGCGTTGCCCTGATGGATCCTCCCTAATGGGGGGGATGGGTTGATGTCCGAGATTCGAAGTTGAGGGTTGTCGAAATCCACTTCTCGTTGCCTCACCATTTCGATCGATGGCTTTAAAAACACGTAATCGCAGGGAAAAGTTAGGTTCCCCACAGATGGCGTCAATGTTCTGCCTGAGGCAGAGATGTCTAACCCTAGGTTAGATGATTGATGTTGGATCTAGTGCTTTCTCTCTAGATACCTATGAACTAGGTATCTTGGGGTTAGCGAATCACTACACACTATATGACGGCTTCAGCCAAAAGGGGTGTTTGTGCGCGCTGTGTGATTGCATAAAATAGAGTTAGAGAAAGATCAGTCATACCTGTGGTCTTTAGCTCCTATTTATAGGACTTACCTCTGGATTTTAAGTTGTCTGGGCCTTCCTAGAATATGAGCCTCGTTTAGGTCCATAACAAAAATATATGGTAATAACCAGCTATGCCATTAATCTAAATATATCGGTGGAAGTTATTTTATTGAAAGAAAAAGAAAGATAACTTCTGCGGGTAATTACAAGAGCAATTACTCTGAAGCGGCAAGAAAGGTCGGAAGAAAAATAAAAATGTGTGTAGGTAAAATTTTCTAATATAATGTCCATGCTGGTTTAATTGGATTCGAGCGTTATTGAAGGCGATTCTTCCAGCACCATTTTCTTCTTTTGGAGCTTGATAATAATAGAACTAGCGATTGCTATTTAATGATAAGAAAAACAAAGTGCCAGAAAATTGAGTCTTAAGAGAAAAAGTGACCCACATTACTTATAAGGGAGGCAACAGGCAAACGAAAGTCCTGTGGGGTTGGACTTGGAACTTGCGTTCCCTTCTAAACAAGTTGAATTTTTTTTTGGTGAAAAAACAAGTTGAATTTTAATTAGGTCTGGTCTAGTCCAATACTGCATTGTTTTCTATGAATATAAAACGAATTTTTTTATGGCACAAACATCTTTTTCTTGACCCAAAAAAAATAAAAATTAAACTATGAATTATTCATTTAATAAATAAATCTCTGAATTTCTTGAATTCTGTCATTAAAAATAAAAATATATCAATCTTTTCATACCTGAACTCTCCATAGACATATACAAACAAATTAGGTGTGGTCTGCTACATGTCCCAGCATCCACGTGACTCTGTTTATCTAAGTTTTTCTTTCCCGTACTCACCAATGTCCAATGATAAATACCAATCCACTCTGCCGCATGAATCACAGTTCTATGCTCCAGCATCCCCAAAAGACCCACCACAATAAAAAGTTCAAATTTGAACGTGCAAAAGCAACACAATGGCCATTAGAAAATCCAATAAGCTCCCACAAGCAGATGTTATCAAGCAAATTCTCAAAAGATGCTCTAGTTTTGGAAAGAAACAGGGTTGCAATGAAGAGGGTCTTCCTCAAGATGTACCAAAAGGTCACTTTGCAGTGTATGTTGGTGAAAACAGGACCAGATATATTATCCCAATTTCATGGTTGGCTCATCCACAGTTTCAAAGTCTTCTCCAAAGAGCTGAGGAGGAGTTTGGGTTCAATCATGACATGGGCCTTACCATCCCATGTGATGAAGTTGTTTTTGAGTTCCTTACCTCATTTATTAGATAAGAAGGATTAGTGAGATTTATCAATATAAATCCCTTGTCAAGTGGTGGTTTGTAACTATAAGCCCTTTGTCAAGTGGTGTTTCTGAATCTGACTATGGAACTATTGACATTTTTATGTATGGTATTCTTATTGTATACAAATTTATGCCAAAGAAAAATTCCTTGGCAATGGAATTTGTATCCTTAATGAGTGAAGATTTCAATGAAGCAATGATAGTCATAGGGTATTATTACCCTGTTCAAATTTTACAAACCCTTTTTCTCTTTTACTTGCATTTGCTTGATAAGTTGACTTGAAATAGCAGTGGTTACTTTGAACGAAATAGTTTCGGACATTCAAATATGTCAAAAAGTAAAAGAAGGTTTCTTTCTCTTCAGTTCAGAACTCCCAAATTCACACAAGTTGTATTTGTTGTTCCATGATACCCATATACAACTTAGAACGTACAAAAGGTTAGCTTTTCAGACAGGAGTGGGGGGAAAACTTGCTCTTATATATATATATGAAAAAACTATTCTCATACTACGTGAGATAAGTTTTTCCTCCTACACATCTTTCGATAACTATGCAATATTTTTTTTTTTTTTCAGATATTGGAGCTCACAAATTTATCTCTATAACATGAGATAACTTATCTCCTTTAATATATATATATATATTCTTGCGTCAAACTTACTGCATAATCTTGTATCAACCAAAATGTATTTAGTAAAGATGAAAGTAACTGATGTATCATTTGTTGGATATATTTTGTATTTTGAGTCTTTTGACAGCGTTGTGCATCATAATAAAACTGAAAATTTTTATTAGCATCACAAATTGCAATATAAAAATGGATTTGTATATATTTGTTAATTACTGACCACTGTGTACGTCTATCGATTCACCAAGCATGATACATAATTTATAATTATGTCTCATCCGTCTCTCTCTCTCTCTCTCCCACTTTGGTTGCAAGGAAGTTCTATTCACCAATGGAATAATAATGCAAATAGCACAAGCAGAGGGAGAAGTAGCCAGAATCATGATTTTCCTTGCATGGGAAAAGATAGCTCCTGAGCCAGTACATCAAATAATGACTTCTTGCTATCTTTTGAAATGGTTCAAGACCTGAATCATTTTATTTGAATTGGTTCAAAAACCGAATTATTTTTTTCAAATTCGGTTTGGTTCACGAACCAAACGACTTTATCAATACAGTTCGGATCGGGTTAAAAATTGAACTAAACTGAATCTAATTATACCTATTTTTAAGAGTGTAAACAAATCAAATAAATCGAACTAAACTACGAATCAAATCAAACTACATCATATTTTTTTAAACTGGTTTAAGAACCGAACCATTTTCTCTGATCAATTCAAGAACCAAATCACTTTTTAAAACTGGCTCAAACCAAACTATTTTTCTAATTCGATTCAATATAAAAAACTGAATCCAATCATACACACCCCTACTTTAAAGTCCTCATCCCACATAATAATTGAAGGAAGTTAGTAAGTCTTAATCCAAAACTGAACATTCTCAATAAAAATGTTTCATTTACTGTTCCATCCTACATATAGGATAAAGTACTAGTCCATACAATTATAAGTACTAAAATTGTTTCCTTCTGATAATTAATTGAGAATTTTCGTCCATGACAATGGACCTACATTAGTGCCCGCTCAACAATCCTTACAAAATCATTTATTGATCACAATTAAATTATAGACCTCTGACAAACGCATGCTTAATTTTGTCCATTTGGTGCACATGTAAATGGGACCTTATTGGTCCATCGAATGAGTCCTCTGGAATCTGAACAATTAAACTTTTAATCCTTCTGTCCTTCCTTGCTTAAGAGATAACAAGATGTCTGTATAACAAGTAATTAAGGGATTTTGCAAGATTAATTGAGATTAATTTGATAATAAATCTAATTATGTTGTTGGAAATAATATTGTAAATATATTTTCCTTATTAGTATTTAGGTTAAGTCTAGGCTAAGCCTATTAAGTTTTCTATATATTGTACACACTTGTATTTATTCAATATACAGAGTATTTCACAATTCCTTTCATCTCTTGTTATTTAATATGGTATCAGATCCGAACGAGAGGAACCTTGATCCGTTTCTTTTTTCGGTGAACCCACTATTCATCGTCTTTTCAAATTTTCCAGATACTGTCACCTTATCAGTTTTCGGACATTTTTCTCCTTCTTATATCGTATTTTCGTCATTGCTGGACCTTGCTCTTCCCGAACGAACGTCAGAACCCTATTACCGCCACATCTCCATCGTTGACCACCACCGTCCAGAGGCCTTTTTCGGCGAGCCACCTACCCCCTGCCCCCAAATTTGATCCCCATTAGCAGACAAATAGGAAGGTAAACTATATAAAATGAACAATATAAAAAGGGTATTACGTTGTTCCCGCTCCTTAGTAACATCACTAGTAAGGGCCAGAAGTTCATTGAGATCATGAAGCAAACTCTGAGCTTTTTCCAAATACTCAGACATAGGACAATTGAAATCCCCAGGGGCAAAGGTAGTCATCAATTTATGGCACACACTATAGAGTCGTTGGGTATCATTTGAGTACAATGCCTTTGCCTGACTTCAAATAGCTTTATAGGTATTTCTTTTGCTGGGATCTCTCAGTTACGCTCTTTAGGCCCTTGGACTTTTGATTTTGGGGCTTCTGATCACATTTATGGTAATAAGTCCTTATTCACTTCTCTTTGTACCACCGGTTCATTTCCTACTATTATTATAGCCAATGCGTCTTTGGTCCAATTCCGTGGGATCAACACAGTTCTTCTTTTACCTCATTTATCTATAGATCATGTTCTCTATGTTCCAGATTCTTCTTTTAACTTACTTTCTATTAGTCGTTTGACAAAATCCATGGATTGTGTTGTTTCCTTTAATAATACTTCTGTCATCTTTCAGGATCAGAGTTCGGGGAAGAAGATTACCAAAGGATGTGAGTCTCATGGCTTCTATTAATTATTTTCTTCTTCTTTAGCCTGCTCTACTGTGGATTCTCCTCTCACTATCCATGCTCGTTTGGGTCATCCAAATCTTGTCGAGCTTCAGAAGATGGTTCCACATTTATCATCTATTTCTAGTTTAAATTATGAGTCTTGTCAGTTTGGGAAACATACTCGTAGTACATTCCTAGGTCGTCTAGTCATCAAGCTTTGTCCCCTTTTTCTGTGGTCCACTCTGATATTTGGGGACCAAGTCTTCATCCTTCTACTTTAGGGTTTAAGTATTTTATTACTTTTATTGATGATTATTCCAGATGTATTTGGTTATTTCTAATGAAAAATCGTTCTGTTATTTTCTGTTTTTCAGTTATTTTATAATGAAATAAAAACTAAGTGTGGTATTCCTATTCGTACTTTTCGTAGTGATAATGCATGTGAGTATTTATCTTATAAGTTTCAGCAATTCTTTTCATCTCATGACATTCTTCATAAAAAATCTTGCCCTCATACACCCTAACAAAATGGTGTAGCCGAGTGCAAGAATTGCCATCTTGTTGAGATTACTTGTGCTTTATTAATTGATTATGGCAATGTTCCCTACAAATTCTGAGATGATGCTATTCTCACTGCATGCTATCTCATTAATCGCATACCCTCATCTGTTCTTTATCAACAGGTACCTCACTATGTTTTGTTTCCTCATCAAGTTTTATATCCTTTGACATGTTTTGTTCATCATCTCGGTCCAAGCTTGGATAAACTAGCTCCCAAGTCTCATAAACGTGTTTTTCTGGGTTATCCTCAGTCTCAAAAGGGTTACTGTTGCTACTCTCTGACTTTATGCCGATACTTTATTTCGGCAGATGTTTCCTTCTTCGAATCAGTTCCCTTTTTTGGCTCCTGTACTTCTGCTATGGACACTAATTATGTTCAGTCATCTTTCCTTGTCGACTCCTTTGAATACCATATATGGACTTCTTTAATTTGCAAACCATAGACTTTGAATCTCCAAATACAAAATTTTTTGGTTGCACCATATAAATCATCTCATCAATGTTACCATTAAGAAACGATGTCTTTACATCCATCTAATATAGCTCTAAATCCAAATGAGCCACAAGTACCATTATGGTCCTAAAAGAGTCCTTCGTAGAATCGGAGAGAATGTCTCTTTATAGTCTATATCTTTCGATGTTTCCCTTTGAATCCCTTTTGGTTTTAAATATCCATTTCAAACCAATGGTTTCGCACCTTTAGACAACTCGACAAGATCCCAAATGTCATTGTCTTTCATAGATTTCATCTCATCTTTCATGGCATCAATCCATTTATGAGCATCAGAGCTTTCTAAGACTTGTTGGAAATTGATTGGATCATCTTCCTTTAAGCCTAGAATATTTTCACGCTATTGAAGAAACACAATATAATCATTTGGAATTGCATTTCTCCTTTCTCTAGTGGATCTCCTTAATGGCACTTCTTGAGTTTATTGAGTTTGTTCTTCATGTGGCATAAGAGGTGGTTCATTGTTGTCTTGACCCAAAGAATTTCAGGGACCGAAGCCTGTTCCATAACAATGTCATGAATAGGGACCTGATCATTAATTGTTTGTACCAGAATTATATCTTGAATGATGACAATATTAGGAAGAGAAATATAATTTTCTTCCTCATCAAAGACAATATTCCTTACTTTATCTTCCCCCCCCCCCCAAAATTAAGGATGTGCATGGGTCGAACCGAACCGAATTTTTTAAAAAACTGAACCGAATTGGTTTAAATGATTCGGTTCGGTTCAAAACTGCTTCGGTTCGAAAGTGGTTCAGTTTGGTTGAAAACAGTTTGGTTCGAATCGGAACCGGTTCGGGTCGACCCTGTTTTGAAAATAAAATAAAAAAGTTTTAAAAAAAAAGTTATAAAAATCAATTTGGTTCGGTTTGAAAACGGTTCGGTTCGGTTCAAAATGATTTGGTTCTTACACTGGTTCTAAAAATCGGTTCGGTTCATGAACTAGTTCTTTAAAAATC